ATCATTACTACTGCTATTACTGATATTACGACTATAAGGAGAAGAGGACGACGTGAGCCTGCTTCTTAAGCTTCCCACAGCACTATTCCTATTCCTAATCCCTACTGCCATTGTCATTATCATTACTACTGCTATTACTGATATTGCGACTATAAGGAGAAGAGGACGTGAGCCTGCTTTTTAAGGTTCCCACGTGCTTTTCGGGAAGATCCTGCTTTAGTTCACGGCTCCCACGGCCCTGCCCGATTGAACTCGAACCGGCCCATTCAGGTTCAATCGGCCAGGGTCCAGAACCCAAGATCCAACATGCCCTCGGAAAGTTTGTTGGACCCGTCTTGGATGTTGGGTCCCTGCCCGATTGAACTTCAATCGGGCAGGGCACGGAAGGCCGGGTCCCTGTATCCTGTACGCTGAGATATGCTACAAGCTATATGCTGCAAGCTATATATATATATATGCTCTATTATACGCTGCAGTATACATTCTCGATCCTAGATACTAGATCCTGTATCCTATATCCTACGTGCTGTATGCCACATCATTAACGTAAACACAGTACACGATATACAACATACTGTATACTGTATACCATCTACTACATATTTGATGTCCTCTGTCCTGTATATTCTATATACGACATGATCTATACTACATACTCTGTACCATATATTCTAGTATATATTGTATACGGTAAACTATAGGCTGTATACTATATGCTGTGCACGTTATGCTGTATGCTATACACTGCATATGATATAGTATAATATGTTTTCTATATGATGTATACTAACCAACACAGAGGCTTACCGCAGAGAACGGATCACCTCTTTTCCTGACCATGCCTTGAGCCAAACGATTCGTTATCTTGAAGTGAAACATGCCATGCGAAACGTGTCAAGCCACAGCCTACGCGCACTAGGCCGCGGTACACGGGTAGCTATGCTTTACTACACCACTACCAGGTGCAAAGGGGTCGTTATTTCTTAACTCCCCCGTCGCCGTGCACATTGTAGTGCGGCTGGCTGGGGCCCTGTTTCCCGACGCCAAAAATGGCTTCATGCCGGAGTTAGGGCATGCAAGCGGGGGGGTGCAGTGCGGGCACTTCGCCCGTTGTTGTTGCTGCGGGCGCCAACGGCTGCCCCCTTACTGGCTCTATAGGGTCAAATAGAAACAGACGCATCTTTGGGATGCGCTTCTGGAACTACACCAATCAACTGAAAGACCACTGGCATATCCAACATCTCAGAGCAGCAAAGCGGCCCCTTAGTCCCGAAGGATCTGGGCGCTGCTCCATGCTAGGCTGTACGCGGCCCCTGCGTCTTAGAAGACTTGGGCGCTGCCCCTGGCTTTGATGACAGAACTCGCTTGTCAACAAGCTCTTTGGGCATCTGAGTGCGTAGCCCTATAGCAACCGGATCGCACTGTCCCACTGAACAGGCGGGAGCTGTTTCGTGAAGATGTCTGCTGCTTGGAGGTCGGTGTGAATATACTGGACATCAACACCAGAGCCTTCGTCAAACTGCTCTGCGCGGCAAGACAACTTCACCTTGTGCGTCCGAGAGATGTGGCGAAGCTTTGGGGCAAACCCTTTGCTTGCAATCAAGATCGTGGCTTGGTTGTCTTCATGCACCGTCATCCGCATGGTCCTGCCTAAAAGCGTATCCCATCAACTTAACGCTGGCAGTCCCTCACTATAAAGTGAGTGGGCAAAGGACACGATCTCAGATTCCGTATAGTGAATCTGGATGTTGAAGTCTGGCGCTTACTAACCCAGGCTAAAGGGGAGAACATATTAGGACCCGCTAGTACTAAGTACCCCGCTGAAGTGGTGCGGGCGTGGGCCTTCTCGCCGGCAAAGTCTCATCTACATACAAAGACAGCTTGCGGTCATCTGGGCTGTCGTTTACGTGCCCCACAAGACGATGATACTTGGTGCTGTCAATGTAGCAAATAAAACGATGTGCCTGGCGATCGTTGTTGCGGCTCCACTTCTGCAAACACGTCGCTAAGTCACCAATGGGCTTGATGATGTCTGGGCGCGACAG